CTTCTTCCCTTCCCTTCCTTCTTCCCTTCCCTTCCTTCTTCCCTTCCCTTCCTTCTTCCCTTCCCTTCTTTCACTGTTGTCCAGACTGGACTGCAATGGCTCACTGCAGCCTTGACCTCCCGGTCCCAGGTCATCTTCCCACCTCAGCCGCTAGAGTAGCTGGGTTCACAGGCGTGTGCCACCACACCCGGCTCATTTTCACGGAGACGAGATTTTCCTATGTACCCAGGTTAGTTGCCAGCTCCTGGGCTCAAGCATTCCTCCCCCTTCAGCCTGCCAAAGTGCTGGGGTTACAGGCGTGAGCCACTGCCCCTGCCGCCTCCTGGGACTGGCATTAGGGGAACTTAGAGGGCAATGTCTGGGGGCTGATAGTTGGGGACTTTGATGCTAATACCCACAGAGTCTGGGTCTCCAGTGGGGGTCTGGGGTCTCCTGGATCCTAGGACCGGTTATCCTGCCATGCAGTTCTTTGGGCTGTATAGGGTGTCGTGTGTGTTGGGGCGGGAGTAGTGGAGTGGTGTGGACGGCCAGCGACTGGACCAGAAGGCAGAAAATTCTAAGGCACCAGGATAAACATCTCTGGGCGCCATCGAGGTTCCCGGGTGGGGGCGAGAGGAGGGGCGGGGCGGGGCTTTCCGCCTACAGGAGACCAAATACGGGCACACACACAATACACACCACACACGCGCGCACACGCACACGCACACGGGCACACATGCGCGCACGGGATCCTGCTCCACTCGGCGGCTCCTTCGCCCCGCCGAGCTCCGCGATCAGCACCCGGGACAGCGCCACCGCCCACGTGCCGGGGGCGGGGTCCGGGCGGGGCTGGCGCCTCGGCGTCTCCCGGGAGTGTCCCGTCCAGCCGCCGAGCAGGTAGGAGCTGCTGGGGCCCCCGCCTCAGCCCATCTGCACCCGCATTTCTAGAGGAAATGTGTGTGGGAGTGGGGGCTGGGGCACTGGGGGGACCGACAGAGGCAGTGGGAGGGAGGGCTCGAGCCTGAAGCGCGGAGACTGGGATTTAGGACATGGAGAAGACAAAGAGCGGAGGGCGGGGAAGGGTCGCAGGCAGAGGGAAGGAGGAGAGACCCTGGGGACAGAGGCCAGGCGATAGGACAGAGAGACAGGCGGGATGGGGAGGCAGACCCAGGGACGACGCCTATTTGGGGACAAGAGAGCGTGGAGACCGAGGCGGTCACGAGAACAGGTGTGAAGACAGCGCAGATGCGTGGAGAGACCAACAGGCCAAGAAGGATGAGGGGGGCCCAGCACAGGCGCCGGGCAGCCCCCGACCCGCCCTCCAGCAAAAAAGGGGAGAGGGAAGGGGGAACCTGCGTCTCAGTTCCCAGGACCAGGTTCGGAGGGAGGAACCGGCTGTGGGCGCTCGGACCGCAGGCTGCCCCCTCCCCACATCGCGGGACCTCAGGATCCCATTTGGGGTATTGGAGGTTCCCAGGCACCGGTGGGGCCGGGAGCGAGCCTGCCCCGCCGGGACTCCGCGTCTGTGCGTCAGCCCCGCCCGTCGTCCTGGCAACAGACCGTTGCCCGGGCAACCAGCTTTGCTCCCACCCCGCCCGAGAGGAGCCAGGCTGTTGCTCTAGGCAACGCGGTCCGCTGGTTCCCACGCCTGCCTTCACCCGCTTCCGGTTCAGGCCCTGCGGAGGGACGAGGAAAAGGCAGAAGTCAGCGGGATGCCTGTGGAGGCGTGGAGGAAGCGGGTATCCCTTTGGGATGGAACTAGGTCCTGAATACCCCCTCTCAAGCGTGGGGAGGCTGAAACTACAACTCCCAGCATGACTCGCGGTGGCTGGCCGGTTTCTGTGCGGCTGTTCGCGCAGGAACCTCATGGGAGTTGGAGTTCTTTGTTGTGCGTGGGACTCAAGGGATGTCTGGGGTGGGAATGGGGGACTAGGGTGCTTGAGTGCCTCTGCAGAAAAGACTCTAGGACTCGGCCACCATGTTCCCGGAGCCCCCAACCCCAGGGCCTCCATCGCCCGACACGCCTCCAGACTCCAGTCGCATCAGTCATGGCCCAGGTGAGCCAGACCCGGGGGCCGAGCAGAGAGAAAGCCCGGCCAGGATTTTCAGGGGCGGGATTCAGACGGGGGTACTCTTGCAGGCGGGCTGGAAAATCCGGCTGGGATTTAGGGTCGTTATCCTGGACTGGAATGCGAACGAAATCGGGGAAAGGAAGGAAGAGATTTGCAACAAAAATCGAAACCGGATCAAGGGGTGTTGCGTGGAATGAGATCTTAGAATTCGAAGGTCCACCTAGCCCTTCGTTTACAGATAAGGAAACTGAGGCCTGATGAGGAGCAGGGCTTCTTCTAAAAGCATCAGGAGTTGAGCAGAAATTGAGGGGGTGAGGGTTGGGGGCGGTAAGGAAAGGCAGAACTAACAAGCAAGCAAATCAGATGGTGTCAGTCTGGATTAGGGCATCGAATCTCTCTATAGGCCAGATTAGGTGGAAGGAAAACACAGGAAGAAATGGAATGAAAATAGCTGGAGGGAAAAGGAGGCCAGCACTCCAGCTTCCACGTGTAATCAGGATTGAATCAGCCCTCGCACAGCCCAGGCGTTAGTATGTGTTTTCTCCTCCACCCCTCTGCAGTGCCTCCCTGGGCCCTGGCCACCATCGTGCTGGTCTCAGGCCTCCTCCTCTTCAGCTGCTGTTTCTGTCTCTACCGGAAGCGCTGTCGGAGGCGGACGGGCAAGAAGAGCCAGGCCCAAGCCCAGGTCCACCTTCAGGAAGTGAAGGGGCTGGGCCAGAGTTACATAGACAAGGTGTGGCCCAGCACAGCCCCTCAACCTGGCCCCTTCCCACACCCTGCTCCTCTCATTGGCTCAGCTGGTCCCAGTCCCTGCTCCCTTCCCTCCTATAGGAACCCACCTTATTGACTCATCCTCCCTGTGTGTCTAGCCCTCAACTGGACTTTGGGGACCTGGAGATGGAACAGATCTAGTTGCTGTTCACAAGAACTTCCTAGTCTGGTGGGAGAGTCAGGCAGTGACACAGACACTCACCACACAGGGTAATATGTGCCATATTACAGGGTCTTATAGGAGTGCAGAAAAAGCATCTCACTGTATAGAAACCTACAGAAAAATAAATATTTAGCTCTGGGCCAGGCACCGTGGCTCAGGCCTGTAATCCTAGCACTTTGGGAGGCTGAGACGGATAGATTGCCTGAGCTCAAGAGTTCAAGACTAGCCTGGGCAACATGGTGAAACCCTGTCTCTACTAAAAATACAAAAAATTAGCCGGGCATGGTGGCACATGCCTCCAGCTACCCGGGAGGCTGAGGCACAGGAATCGCTTGAAATGGGGAGGTGGAGGCTGCAGTGAGCTGAGATTGTACCACAGCACTCCAGCCTGAGTGACAAAGCGAGATTCTCTCTCCAATAAATAAATAAGTCAATAAATAAATGGCTCTGAAAGCTGAAAAACAACTTTGTGCCAGAATACTTTGAGATGTGCTGATTTCTTTCAGAAAATGGAACATATTTACAGTAAGAAAAAATTTTAAACAGAGGGTCAGACAGAAGAGGCTTCATGGTAGAGGTGACTTCTGCATTGAGACCCAAAGGCCAGAGCTAACAGAGCAGAGAGAAGGACATTCTAGTCTAAGGAGGTGCATGTGCTGAAGCCCCACATCCAGATTCTGAGGCTTATTTGGAGAACAAAGAGTCATTTTTCACAATAGCTTCACTCTGGAGTCTTGTGTCTGGAGAACTCAGCAGTGTCCACATCATGAGGGTGATGAAAGCTACAAATATGTTTTGAGCATGAGGGATAGGGTCAGATGTTGTTAGAATGACTCCTCTGGAATCCCTGTGTTGGACAGATCTGGGGCGAGGAGTCCAGGGAGGAGGTCAGTGCAGCAGCAGCCTGGAGAAGATGAAAGAGATTTGCACTGGACGAGGACATGGGAATGGAAAGCGGTCACTGCAGGGTCTGAACATTAAGTCTCTCCGTGCGGAGTGCTACGGTTACCTGGGAGCCAGACAGCCCTAGATTTCCAACCAAGAAGGACCATTTCCCATTTTGTGACCTTGGAGAATTCACTGTCCCTCTCTGAGCCTCAAGTTTGTGGTCACTAACTTGGTATTTCCCCTTTCCTTCTCAGTAAGGAGCTGTTACAATTAGTATCCATAAAGGATGCCATTTAGGGCCCTGGTGTCCAGCCCCATCCCTATCCCTTAAACCAGTGATGTTCAAAGACCATTTGCATCAGAGTCACACAGAGTACTTGTTGAAATGCAAATTCTGGAGCTAGCACCTGACTTATTGAGTCAGAATCCCTAAAGAGGTGACCTCAGGCATTTTGCCACAGGACTCAGGGGAATTCAGATTCACACTGAATTTTAAGAATTACTGGCCTAGGTTAAGGAGACATCTTCTGCTTTTTTATTCTACTTTAGAATGACAAGTACACAGTAAATATTCCATTTCTCCTCCATATTTTGCTGTGCTAAGATCACTAGCAAACATGGCAGTTTGCACTACCATCCCAATACATCCATTAGCATGTGAAATAAAATCTACCTCATTCCTGAGACACTATCCACACTTATTTTA